TAAAGACAGGACCGGCCCTGAGTCAAGATCCATCCCAGATTCCCGGTTATCAATGCAGAGTAACCATGTGGATTCAACATAATCTTGGATCAGCATCAGAAATCCTCCCTGGGTTTCTACCCAGATCCACGCATGACATTTTTCCATTGTACCGCTTACCTTCTGGAATAGTCTACCAAGAGAAGTCCACCCTGCGCTGTTTGTTGTGGTTTCTTCTTCCTTGCCTGGTTTTTAAAAAATAGCCTTGTTCTCGATTGCGTCTACTTAGTTGCTTTGTGGCATTCATATATTTCTTGAATGCTTAATTCTTTTTAAAACCCACCAATGATCTTTTCGCTCAGCATTATTTGTACTTTCTGCGATTTGCTTCGGTAGGGTGGTTTGTGGTGGCGGAGGAGGATTTTTTTGCAGCTTTTATTGTTTCATGATGGATTGCTTTAATCTGTTTATTCACCCTTGTAGCTGGCTGCTTTGGTTTGTTTTACAAGAAAAGCAAGTGGCAAAACCCTTAAATGAGATAAATAAATAAAATCCAGAGTTCCTGCCAGTTGCGCACACTTCACAGTAATCTCTCTTGGGAAGAAAACCAGCAAATCTACCATTGTGCTTTTACTGGTGGGACAACTTATGGGGGCCAGGGAACTGCACAAGAGCTCCCCAAAACTCTCCATCTCTTGCAGAACTCACTACCAATGCCACAAGAATATCACTGGATTTTTTTTTTTGCGTGAATGTAAAGCGTGGTGGAGCGGTTTGAGTGTTGGACTATGACTCTGGAGACCAGGGTTCGAATCCTGGCTTGGCCATGAAACCCACTGCGCAAGTTACACTCTCTCAGACTCAGAGGAACTGACTCCAAAAGGTCTTATAAAAACCCTGTCTTTGTTGTTGTTGTGCGCCTTCAAGTCATTTCTGACTTATGGCGACCCTAAGGCAAACCTATCATGGGGTTTTCATGGCAAGATTTGTTCAGCCGAGGGTTGCCATTGCCTTTCCTGGATGTGACCATGTTTTTGCCTGGATTACATGGAGTGCCTTCTGCCTGCATTGATATCCCTCCAGACCATCTTAACTGACAACAATAAAAACGTCTTGACTCTAACATTGTCAATTTTTCCTTTTTCCTGTATGATTTTTTATGCATTTTGGTCAGCCTAATCAAGGCAATGCTGTATTTTGGATTTTCGATGTCATTTTTGGTATTGTATTTTGTATACTGCATTTTGTATAGTATTATATATTGCATTTTGCTGCATAACCAACATTGACTTCCCCTGGATATATTTTCTGAACAAACAACCCATTACATAGGGGAAAGGAAAACATGCCCCCACATTATGTCAGTATGGACTTTATCACATCAGCTTGCTGTCCTGCTACAATCACACCAGTTTAAGAACAGATGCATACTGGTTTGGTATAATTCCTTATTACACTTTCCCCCATGATAGTGCTTTGGCGATCCATGGCTGCGTGATCTGTTTTACACACTGCAAAACGCCGTCTTTTGGCAGCTGCAGGATAGACACATGCTAAGGACGGACATGCGTGTGCTAAGTACCGACCAAAGATGCTTTTATCCAGTTAAAATTTAACGTATTAAAGTCCTGTGTGTCACCAACAATATTCCAACCTGCATGTCCACCAAGCCCAGGTATGGGCAATTCAGGAGCCACACGATCCTCCAGCCAGCATGGCCACGATCCCATGTTGCCACGCTGGCTGGGGGATTCTGGGAGTTTTACAAACTTTTACAAAGTATTGTTTCCAAGTTTTTCTGGTACTGCAGCCACAACGTTGTAAGTTCGATCCTAGAAAGATCTGCTCTGCTACGTACGAAACCCCGATCCAGTAAAGTTCAATCCTAAATGAGGTCCTCCAAGGTCTACTCAGCTTGCATCCTTCTGTAGGTTGGTAAAATGAGTACCCAGCTTGTTGGGGGCAATTGGCTTACACATTGTAAGCTGCTTAGGGAGAGTGCTTAAATGCACCGATAAGTGGTATAGAAATGTACTTGCTACTGCTATTGCTTCCTACACAGCTGTCTGGATTATCAAGGAGAGATTTGGGCTGCTACCACACTGCAGAATCAAAATGCAAAATTAAACTTTCATGGCTCCATCCTAGAAAATCCTGGGATGTGTTGTGGCACCAGGGCTCTCTGACGGAGAAGGCTAAATATCCCACAAAACTACACATTCCAGAATTCGACAGCACTGAGCCAGGGCAGTTAAAGCAGTGTCAAAACGCATTAATTTTGCAGTGCCGATGAATGGTTCTCTTGCTTTTATTAATCTAATAAAAGGATTGAGAGAGAGCACTTTGAATCAGGGTTTTCGGAGCTTTTGCGTGGCTCATCAACCTAAAAGCAGACCCTCCAAAAGTCAGAAAAATTGACTTGGAAGAAAATTGCAATGGAAAAATATGTGGACTTCTCATTCCATACATTTGAGCCTAACATTTTCAGTGGAGACGGTGGGGACCCCACCGTCTCCACTGAAAATGTTAGGCTCAAATGTATGGAATGACCACGGCTGCATTGGCACTGCAAAAGTAATGCATTTTGACACTGCTTTAACTTTCTAGATGCACACAAGGCCAAGGCAATAATTCTTTCGAAAGCTCTGGGCTGGCTGCCTTTGCAGCAGTAAATCCAGCTTTCCTCCACTGATAGTTGTAAACCTTTACGGCTATTATATTTTCACACGGCTCTCCAGGTCATTAAATGCAGGCTGGGATTAAACACGGATACCAATCCTGTTTATAGCTGAGCACCCCTCGAGAACGGGGAAGGGTATTGTGGAATGACCGCCACATTTTGTCCAATCCATGGTCTCCCAATCCAGATTAAGGATGGTGCAAGCGGAGAGAACTAGGTATCCTTCTTAGCCCATTAAGGAGCCAGGTGGCACAGGGCATTTATGCAGCTGCCATCCCGGTTCTTTATGGATGTGCTTAAACCAGAGCAGGCGGCTCTCTTGCTTTTATTAATCTAATAAAAGAATTGAGAGAGAACACTTCGAATCAGGGTTTTCGGAGCTTTTGCGTGGCTCATCAACCCAAAAGCAGACCCTCCAAAAGTCAGAAAAATTGACTTGGAAGAAAATTGCAATGGAAAAAATATGTGGGCTTCTCACTCATGCATTCCAGTTTTGTTGTTCACACTATTTAATTGTGACTTTATTTGGACTTCCTCGGGATCAGGCACAGACTAAAAAGCAGACTCATCGGGGTTATTCAAACGGGGAAAATAATCCTGGTAGGATGTGAGTTGAATCTTTGTTGTTCACATGCATTTCTATCTAATGCAACCAAGTAAATTTGGAGGTTTGCCAAAAAAAACCCACTTACACTGGGATAATTGAGTTTTTTCCAAGTTTTCTGAAAAGATTTGCATTGTCGGCTGTATGAATATCTGATGTGAATAGACCCGGGATAAACCAGGATAAAACTCTGCATGCCTTGAACGTGTTTTGAATACATCCGCAAGTTCTGATAAAAAATTATTCTTATGATATTAAATCGTGTGAAAACAAATAAATTAAATAGTGTGAACAATAAAACTGGAATGTATGAGTGAGATTATTTGCATAGTTGCACTAAAAAATCAACAATGTCTGAATAACCCCCAGGTCAGAAAAATTAGGTAATGAAATAAAATGTTTGGACTTCCTCAAGATCAGGCATGTGCTAGTTTTGTGATTTCCAGAATTAATGCCTGCCTGAAGTATGTGCAAAATGAGAATCTTGTCCTCCCCAGGAAATCTTCCTTCAATTCCCAAATTTCTAGCACTGCAGTAACTTAAAACTTGACTAAGGCTTCATCCGCACTACAGAAATACCGTAATCCAGGTTGACACTACGTTAAGTGCCACAGCTAAGTGCTATGGAAGTCTGGGAATTGTTGTAACACCAGAACTCTCTGACAGAGAA